TAGTCAAAATGAAGAGAGCTCATTGTTTTGTTAACCCGTGTGGACTAATGTTATGGTTAGTCGTCCGTGTATCAACAAACTTTTCTTTCATCTTTTGTTACATCTTTTCCCAAATTGTTCCTTGGGTAGTACGTCACAGTACGGCTTTCAAGAAGTATTTCCGTTACTGAAAACAATACCCACCTCCCCCCCCCAAAAAAAAAAAAATTGTGTGTTTATTCCTGAAATTCTGGCCTATAGTTGAGTTGAAAATGTATAGTAATGTTCCTTGGATGACCTCGTTTCAGAATTGGGTCCAAGGTTAACATTTGAGGCTTCCTAGATGGACGATAAAGCTTCGTTGAACGCATTTTTTTTTTTTGTAACACCAAGCAAGTGACTCCATGCTTAATTCCTTGTCCCTGGGGCTTAATTAGTGAATTCTTTTTACGTAAATTCTTTGTGTTTTTTGCAACTATATTTACGATATTTGACTAAAGTTTTTATCAATTCCACCAAAAATACCAAGAGTACCACACACACAAAAAAAGGGTGGTGGTAGTGGTGAGTGTGATGAGGATATTTGGAACGTCTCTGTGTGTGTTGTAGGTGACATCTATAAACTGTGTCCTTGTCGATGTGTTTTGTGCTTTCCTAACATAATCACTCCCTGTTAGCTAGTCTGTCAGTCAGTCACTCTCTCTGGTTTTCCCGTTCTACAATGATATGTCACCCACACCCTTCAGGATCTTGAGGTGTCGCGAGTTAACATCAGTAACAACACCGTCAGAAGAAAGGTCAGCCTCGTAGTTTATCATACACTTGCTCTTGTGAACTTTGCCATCACCTGAAATTAACTTCAAACCACAAAACCAACTTTCCCCAGTCTCTACCTTTGTATAGTCATATCATCGTCCCGCCACACACCTTTTATTCGAATTTATTTACTAATTCATGAATTTTGAGATTTAATTATTACAGATATTTAACCACGAACTAAATATCTGTCTATCCACCAATCTACTTATCCATCACTATTAGTACAAAATGCAAAATACGATTGATCGAAAATGGAGAATTTCTTGACGCCCTCTTACACGGACCATTAAAAAGATATCATAAGTAAATTTATCTCCATCAGTAATGTAAGTACGAGTATCTATAAATGTTAACAACACCACATACACTCGTACCATAAAGAACGCCACTATAGGCAGAAGGTAGTAGGTAGTAGGCAGCTACCAAACAGGGAGGTACTATCGCCTGGGAAGATATTGGAAGCATAATGTGTTGTCTAATCGGTAGACCCTGCTGCCATATGGCATCACAAAAATTGTGACCAAGTCCCAGGTTGCTGATCTGACTTTTGCCTCATTTACACACAATTGTAGGGCCTCAATTGTTTCTCTTACATGACAACACAACATACATATAGCGTTTCTCACTGTTGATTTTTTTTCATTCTTGTATTTCTTTGTAATTATTATTATTATTATCACAGTGTTGTTATTATTATTATTACCATTAATATTTTATTTTACTTTGTATTATAAATTTTATTTACTTTGAATTATTATTATTATTATTACATTTTCGCCCCCCGGGCCCCGATGTGGGTCAGTGACCTGTGCCCGGGTGGGCTAATCCCCTTAAAAAAAAAAAAGTAGGCGAATATTCGTCAGCAAAGGAGAACACATTACTGATTGCTTGCGTTGGCGGTGTTTTTATAGCACGAGTATTAATATACTTCAAGCAATAAATATGAAAAGTAGTTTGAGTTAAGTTTTAGCGGGACGTTGGTAAGAGAAGCGACCATTAGACTATGTTTTCTCGTTAACACAATACATTTATACACCAGCCACTAGTAATGTGTGGCCAATGATAATAAATCTGTCTGACTCATTGACACCGAGTGAGTATACAATGTGTGGTGGTGGTGTAAAGAGGCTCCACCACCTCTAATAGTATCATCACCCTAATTACCATCATCACTTATTATCACCACCACCATCACCCATCATTAATTATCATCATCATCAACATCACCATCATCATCATCACCACCATCGTCATTATCACCATTATTAGAATCATCATCACCATCATCATCATCACAGCCACCTACCCACAATAAACACCACCACAGTTACTATCACCAATACCACTATCACCAACACTAGTACCACAATCACCACCACAACAACTATTACAGCAATCACCATCGCCACAAAAACTGTCACTACCACAACCACCACATTATCACCACTACCACCATCACCACAACAACTATCACCACCTCTCTCTCTACCACCACTACTACTACTACTATTACTACTTATACCATCACCTCCACCAGTACTGCTACTTTTCCACCACCACCACTACTACCACCAGTACTACCACCATCATCACCAGTACTACCACTACCACCATCATCACCAGTACTACCACTACCACCATCACCAGTACTACCACCACCACCACCACCAACAGCTGTGAAAACACCTGCCCAACCTCTATCAACAACCTGATGACGTCACTCCATATACTATTTCCCCCAGCTGATCGTTAATCTGGGTCAAGCGAGTGATAGCACTATACTAAATTACTTTATCAACATTGTATACATTGACCTCACTTGTGTAGTGGTACCGAGTTGTATACATTGGTCCAGTTGTACATTGACCTCGGTTGTAAATTGGTTCAGTTGTACATTGACCTGAGTTGTACAATACATTGGTCCTTAGATGTACTTTAATCCTAACTGTTCTTGTTTTTTGTCATCATAAGCTGTATTTGTTACGTTGTCTTTGTAAGTTAACCTGTTGTTCTTGAGGAGATAATTGTAACTAACACCTGAACACTAAATAAATGGTTAATATCTGTAGTCCCTTAATTTTGATTTTTCCTTTTAGCTGAAGATGAGAACAGGTTGTGTGAAGATACTATGTGAATTCTTCCTCTTTCCTGAAAATTAGAGAGTTCACCTGATAAACGGGGTAACTTATATGTTGTTGTCAATCGCTTCACATCTGTGTTTGGTCTTCATCTGTGTGTGTGTGTGTGTGTGTGTAACAATTATCGACACCACCACAACAGGTAAAGTTCATAATGTAGCAAACTGATCCACCCAGTGCTTGGTCAGTCGTGATGGCAAGTCTACACGTAAAGGTAATGTGATTTTGGTTAGGTTAGGTTAGGTTAGGTTATCACTGAGGTAAAAATACGAGTTCTTACATCACCAGTCAGAAAAAAAAAATATTCTAAGTACTTTTGAGGAACCGGGGAGTGCATAGGCCGGCTTTAATTACCCCCTTTGAGAGAGAGAGAGAGAGAGAGAGAGAGAGAGTGTGTGTGTGTGTGTGTGTGTGTGTGTGTGTGTGTGTGTGTGTTCCCATGAGAGACTTTCTACCCATTCCTTATATAATTTTACGTGAGTGACTAAACAAAGTGAATATACTGTACAAATACCTACCAAGTATTTTTTTTTTCTATTAACACTTTTACGTCAACAAATTATTAGGACTTTACACGAAATATTACAAACTAATCCCGATTTAGATAACCCAAGAGGAAATAAACTAATAGTAGAATTCCAAGGCAGTTACGTTATAAGCCTCAAGTGAGTCAGATGTTAGGTACTACTGTGACCTACTTCTGTGTACGGTAAGACTCATCATCTTCAACCTACAAGAAGAAGAAGAAGAATAATGAAGAAGAAAGATGAAAGAAGAAGAAAGAAGAAGAAGAAGAATGAAGAATGAAGAAGATGAAAGAAGAAAATAATAATCGTTCTTAGTTTCAAATACAAAATAAACATCGATTATAATACTGCAATCAAAAAAGAAGTATAAATAAACGATAACACATTGGTGAACCTGTGATAATGTTATCTCCTGAACTGGTTATCTCCAACATGTCCGTACGAGGCATCACATTACTACTAGCTGTTCTTCCCACGTCTCTTCACTCTGTGGCGTGTACTATTAGAGCCCCCCCCCCCACACACACACTCAGCAGCAGTGCCTTATCAGAGAGCCTTGACCCCCTATATTAAACCAACACATGAAAATAAAGGGTTTATGGTACATGTTTTATCTCAATCTTAGTTTTATTTCCCAATTAAATCCAATATTATAAAACTAGAAACTTGTTGAGTAAAATTTCGCTTCACACATCAGAATAACAGGACAAATACTGTACACTATTCCGGTTCAATGTACTTGGTTCCATCACAAGATACAGTACATGAAGACATTAAGAGGCACTTATGTTACATTTACATCAACATAGTACTTAACATTTCTATAAGAGAAAATTTTATCTCAACAAAACGTCATTTAACATGTAAGCCCATTAAATACGCTTAATTAAATGACTTCTAAGCCATTCGAGTCTGATGAACACCAACAATATACAAGGGTATATATGTATTTTTTTTTTATGTACTTTAACATTCATTACATGGTATGAAGGTGGTCACACAACACAAGAGCAGGAGTGGAGTGTGTGTCAGCCGCTGACATTGACACATGTGCGCGGTGGCTAGTGAGAGACCCGCCGCTCCAGCCGCCCACCTCGCTCTTGACGTCAAACTGTAGTCCCGCCCACACCTACAGCTGCCGCCCTCCCCTGGGACTCTCCTGGTCACGGGCAACTATATTTTTTTTAATGATTTATTTGTATATTTATAAAGGTATATTTTGTCTTTACTATTCTGTTTGGGACATTCTACCTCTTTTGTTGAAGCTTAAGGTTATAATGTGAAGGGCGTTAACATTCAGAGGAGATTACTAATGTTTATACTTTCATACACGATGATTTAATACAACAGGTGAATGAAGTAATTAAAACCTCTTAAAGTCACCATTTTCATACCATGTAACAGAATGCTTCTCTATATACAAAAAAAACACCACAGAAACAAAAAAATCATCTGAAACAAACCGAGAATTCGCATCCTTACTCCCCGCCCCCCGGTTTAGACTCCGCCCACCCCACACACACGCTATATATACGACAATCTCCTCCGTTAAGCCACAGAACCAAGAGAAGTGGTTTAGTGAGAGTTTGTGGAACAGTAGTGACCCACGAGTAATAAACACTACTGTATCAAGGTAGTTTAGAGTTGTGTGGATTTGTGGATTACCTGCCTGTCAACTGTACCGGCTCGACTTTGATCTTCACTAACAAAGCACCACCCGTCTCTTTAGAATATATTGTAAGTAAATTAATTTATTTACATGTATTTGATAATGGATCTTATTGTGTTTTTAACTTAGCTGCAAGATTTTTTTCTTTTTTTAGGAGTCATATAGGATTTTACTTACAAACTGTGATAGAAGTCAACAACTGTGTCAAGTGTAGGATTTTGTTCATTGGTTGCCCTTATTTATCATCCGTCATTTACCGATAATACAGAACAAGTGTCACTCCCAGTTCCCAACAGTGTTTCACATTGTTAGTGCTATAGACTTTCTCCCATTATTCATTCCTCTCTTCTGTATTCTCGTTTTCCACAGTTTTGTCATTTATCACTTTCGTTTTTTCACTGTACTTCACCCGTGACGGCTATGTTCCTTTTCTTGATCCTTCGCTGTGTTCATTAATCTAGTACCTCCTCTTCTGGCTTATAAAGTTAAAGTTTTCTGTCTCCTCCACTCCATCTAAGTCTCCCTTACGTCCAAACTTGCGTCAGGAGGTGGTGTGTGGGACTGCCCGAGTAGTTATCTCCCAGCTTCCCGTTACTCATGATAAAAGCTCCTCTCACTTTCTCTCTCTGTATAGAAATGTTGTCAACCCTTAGCACAGTGTAGCTGAACTTTCTCATCTCTGCTACTCAACACCTCTTCCCTCCCCCAGTAGTTGTGATGATATAGTGTTTGTTATCTCTCAGTCCTATCAGTGTTCTGGAAGGTGCCCCCTATAGTTTTATTAAGATAGAAATATTACGTAGTTTAGGTTTTGAATTTCCTAGGTATTGCTTTGTGTATATTGTGTCACTTACTAATGTGTTGTGTTGTTCTCAGGTTGAGAGACCTCTATGGGCAACGCAGTACAGAAGATTCGTGCCCGTTTAGTGATGGAGCGAGTCCACGCCCACGGCATGCCCGCCCAGGCAGTCTTCTACCCTGAACGTAGTCGCAGCCCAGACGGTCGCAAGTCGTCCACGGGGTCGTCGAGTGAGGCGTCATGGACCAGTGCTCAGGACGACTCTCTTGACGCAGCCCTTCAGTCGTTTGACGACCTTCACGATCCTGATGGCGCTCTTAGCGACCTCCTGGCTCGTACTGGTGAAGACGACTTCATGAAGGCTGTCTTATCTTTCTGCTCGTACATGGACGGTAGGATGGACACCCTCGATAATTCACGCATCTACGACGAGTTCCGCTCCTACACCGCCTGCGGCCCACCCAAGGTTTCGGTGGCTTGATCGCTCACACAGCTTCCTCTTGAGTATCTATTTCTAATTGCAGCATATCCATATCTTATTCTGCTCGCCAACACTGTGAAATAGGCTCCTTATGGATGATAAGGTATCCCCTACACCCCAAAGGTGGCGAGCAGTGAGGAATCACCGGATATATCAAGCGGAAGTGGGAGTGCAACAGCGGTCGGTCACCCTGGAGACGCTCTCATCAGGACACACCGCCCACTTCCCTGTCCTCACCCCTCCCCGCGCCGCCCACCCCCCACAATGGGCCGCTTATGTGTCGTCCCGTTGTTGTCTGGGAGGATGTCAATGGTGGTGCCCAACTGGCGGCCGTGAAGAGCTGAGGCTTCTCCCCTTCCGTGTGGAAATGCCAAAGATGGTCCAGAGTCCGACTGTATGGCGCCCCTCAGTCGGAAGGTGCCACAGTTCCCGGATGAGCCGTCGAGAGTCTGAGCAACTGGTTTACGTTAAGGTGAAATATCGTAGTCTTTGGGATTTCTTTGTTTTACTCTTTTGAAGTTGCCAAAATTAACTCATAAAGTAGCCACTTGGGCCATAGTAGAACGTCACTAACAGTAAGTCAGGTTTGACAGCCAGTTGTAACTTACCACAAGATCTATTATCAGCTGTTAAGTTCATTCCTCTTAATTGTTGAACTCTTATCTTCTTATGACACTTTCCAGTCAAAGTACAGTACAGTATGTGTATGATCACTAAAATGTAATTGTGTGACTAAGTATCTCAAATACATCACGTCATTTAAGAGAAAGACAGATGCCTGTAGCAGGTGACTCCTTGTACACAAAGGTCCCAAGTGTAGCCTCCGGCTCATCCAGTTGTTATATGGTTTGTACATATATATTATTGTTGTAGTATATGTAAATATTTCTATTGTCGATATAGATCTCTCTATAACAGTAAGCCTGGAAGGCTTATGTTATAAGAGTGTACTCTGTACTACTCGTGAGTACATAGGAGAATGTACACTCAAAATGTGCCAAATATTCATACTTTACACCACTCACCAGTCAGTCAACAGTTAGAGATAAGATAAAGCTGTTAGTCTAAAACACAGTCAAGGAATCTGACTTTTGCATTGTGTCAACTAACATCCTGTTACAATATTATGAATAAAAAATTCAAGATTCCTCTTCTTTTAACAGTGAGTGGAGTCTGTGATACTGTGTGTATGTTTGGCTACCAGTACCTGTATATTATGTGTGAATGTGTGCACGATTGTTAGTGTGTGTGTAGCACGGATGGATAAAAGTACGCCTTAGCGTGGCCACAAGAAGAGTGTTTGGCACGGATTCAAGTCACTGTTAACACGGTTGTTGAAGTATGAGTTGGCACGAGCGAGAGTAAGTTGGGTCGATGCTGTCACAAGAGTTCCCGAGGCTGGATAAGTTTTGTCAAAAAAACTCGTAATCACCTAAGTTCTAATTACTCTATTTCCATGCCCGATTATTGTGTTATCAACTTAAATTATTTTGTGTTCAAGTTCTATTAATTATTTCCAAGTTATATTATTGCATTTCCATCAAGTTTTGCGCTTAAGCTAAATTATTGCATTTTAAGTTAAATTATTGTATTCTATAACTACAATGCATTCCAAAGCTTAAACTGTTATCTATTTACAACCTACAGCTAAATTATTATGCTTTATGTATATTTATTATTATTTGTCCATATAAACACAAATTTTCTTTTTTATTTTTAATATACAAAAACATTCTTAAATTACATCATGTATTTAATTCCATAAAAAAAATTATTACATTTCACGATCAACGAATTTAATGCATAAAAAAACACGAAATTGTAATGGATTAATAAGTCTGTTGTTATGAGCCTTGTCAGCATATGAGTCTGATGTGCTTCCAAAGACATTGTGTATATGTATCATTATCGCTATATTTATAAATGTTATTTTCATATACAAAACTCCTTATTTTATTTTCAACCCTTCGTCAAAAATCTCAGGAATATATGACATCAAAAAGGACTAAAAAAGAAAAGAAAAATATGAAAATACCAAAAGAAAATGATAATTTTTTTCATGTAAAAAAAAAATATTGTACTCGCTGTTGTCACACAATCATTATTAAAACATTTATACACACAAAATACATCAGATTGGGAATATTTCTGAAAATAATCTGAAATATCTAGGTAAAAAAAAATGAAATCCAAAGGTTCCTGGATATGGTGCCAAAGAAAAAAATTAACCTAGACTTACACAACATATTGAACAGAAGGTAGAAAGGACTGTGGCAAAACTGAGATTCATCTTAGTATGTAAATAACACTTTTTTCCACTCCTTGGTAGAATAAACCTGAAGAATCACAACAAATCTTGATATTTTCACTACAAACAAAACCAAAATATAGGTAACTTCTGTTTACATTTAACTAACCTAACCTAACCAAGAAAGAAATGTGTCGTAAAAAGATTTGTTTCCTGGTGGGTTACGTACACTACATCACCACCCCTGTACAACTAGTATCACCACGTACACTATATCACCACCTGTACTACAAGCAACACCACGTACACTACATGACCATCCCTGTACTTGTGTCATCACGTACACTACATCACCACCACCTGTAAAACAAGTATTACCACGTACACTACATCACCACCACCTGTACAACAAGTATCACCACGTACACTACATCACCACCACCTGTACAACAAGTATCACCACGTACACTACATCACCACCACCTGTACAACAAGTATCACCACTACATCATCACCACCACCTGTACAACAAGTATCACCACGTACACTACATCACCACCACCTGTACTAGTAGGTATCACCACGTACACCAGCATCACCACCACCCGTACAACAAGTATCACCACGTACACTACATCACCACCTGTACAAGTATCACCACGCACACCACTACATCACCACCACACCAAAATAAGTATCACCACGTACACTACATCACCACCACCTGTACAACAAGTATCACCACGTACACTACATCACCACCACCTGTACCATAGTAGTATCATCACGCACACTGATCACCACCACCTGTACAACAAGTAAGTATCACCACGTACACCATCACCACCACCTGTACAACAAGTATCATCAAGTACACCACATCACCACCACCTGTACAACAAGTATCACCACGTACACCACATCACCACCACCTGCAACAAGTATTCCACGTACACTACATCACCACCACCTGTACAACAAGTATCACACGTACACTACATCACCACCACCTGTACAACAAGTATCACCACGTACACTACATCACCACCACCCAGCAACAAGTATCACCACGTACACCACATCACCACCACCTGCACAACAAGTATCACCACGTACACTACATCACCACCACCTGTACAACAAGTATCACCACGTACACTACATCACCACCACCTGTACAACAAGTATCATCACGTACACTACATCACCAACACCTGCACAACAAGTATCACCACGTACACTGCATCACCACCACCTGTACAACAAGTATCACCACGTACACTACATCACCACCACCTGTACAACAAGTATCACCACGTACACTACATCACCACCACCTGTACAACAAGTATCACTACGTACACTACATCACCACCACCTGTACAACAAGTATTACCACGTACACTGCATCACCACGTACACTACATCACCACCACCTGTACAACAAGTATCACCACGTACACTACATCACCACCACCTGTACAACAAGTATCACCACGTACACTACATCACCAATATATCCACCACTATCACCATTCATGCTAAGTCCAAGAACGATATTGATGTTAACACAACTATCACATAACGTCGGTACGGCTACTGTAATGTTATCATCATCACCTATAATGGCATCCTCGTTATCAAAACTATCGGTATCAAACATCAGTCATAGAAAAATGGTCGTTATCTCAACAATTGCCAACACCAAAAAATAAAATATCACCACCACCACAGTTGCCAACACCAACATCATCATTATCACCACCACTGTCGCCTTCACCACCACTAACAACCTCTAGGTAACAAAACATTGGTGCCAACAAGAGCATCAAGCATCACAGGGTCACTCAAGGACACAAAACTGGCATATAAGAATAAATATGATGATGTTCACTTTACGTAACTCAGACAAAATACACAATATAGGGCCTTTAAGACAACTAAACCTGCTGGACTGCGAGAGACGTAAGTAAACTTGAGCAATTTTCATATTATCCTACCAAGGCCTGACATCTGACCAATCACAGATCACCTCGATGCACATTAGCCTATGACGTTCAAGAGATATATGTCTTATTTTCGGAGAACTCAGAAAGATATCATATATATTGGTCATATTAAAACTTCTGAAAATATACACAGGTCACATTAAAACTACTGAAAATATACACAGGTCACATTAAAACTACTACTGAAAATGACTGAAAAACTATATATACTATTCCTCGCGTGATGTGACCTTTACTTCCTTATCACTATCTTCCGTTCCAATCAGATACGTCAAAACGTCAAAATGAAGATGACGATGGTAGCGGGAGCGTGCGGGAGGTGACGTTATCATGGTGACGACTCTACTGTAGTGAGGTGACGTTATCATGGTGACGACTCTACTGTAGTGAGGTGACGTTATCATGGTGACGTCTCTACTGTAGTGAGGTGACGTTATCATGGTGACGACTCTACTGTAGTGAGGTGACGTTATCATGGTGACGACTCTACGTAGTGAGGTGACGTTATCATGGTGACGACTCTACTGTAGTGAGGTGACGTTATCATGGTGACGACTCTACTGTAGTGAGGTGACGTTATCATGGTGACGACTCTACTGTAGTGAGGTGACGTTATCATGGTGACGACTCTACTGTAGTGAGGTGACGTTATCATGGTGACGACTCTAATGTAGTGTGACGTTATCATGGTGACGACTCTACTGTAGTGAGGTGACGTTATCATGGTGACGACTCTGCTGTGGTGAGTGACGTTATCATGGTGACGACTCTGAGTGATTGACGTTATCATGGTGACGACTCTACTGTAGCAATTAACGTTATCATGGTGACGAGTGTGACGTTATCATGGTGACGACTCTACTGTAGTGAGGTGACGTTATCATGGTGACGACTCTACAGTGTGGTGAGGTGACGTTATCATGGTGATCTGGTGACGACTCACCTGTAGTGAGGTGACGTTATCATGGTGACGACTCTGCTGTGGTGGTGACGTTATCATGGTGACTGACTCTGTGGTGGTGGCGTTATCATGGTGACGACTCTACTGTAGTGAGGTGACGTTATCATGGTGACGACTCTACTGTAGTGGGGTGACGTTATCATGGTGACGACTCTAATGTAGTGAAATGACGTTATCATGGTGACGACTCTACTGTAGTGAAATGACGTAATCATGGTGACGACTCTACTGTAGTGAGGTGACGTTATCATGGTGACGACTCTACTGTAGTGAGGTGACGTTATCATGGTGACGACGCTACTGTAGTGAGGTGACGTTATCATGGTGACGACTCTACTGTAGTGAGGTGACGACTCTACTGTTGGGTAGTACATCTCACCTCACATGATACATATCAACAGTGCCACGCCTGCCGCACCTCCCTACCATCCTCAGTTATCGTCCAGTGATCTCAGTTCAATTTACTAATTCAGACAAGACTACAGGTACAGATACGAGTACAGGTATATTACGAGTACAAAAAACAGATACGAGTACATGTAAAGGTAGATAATAGTACAGTTACAGATAAAGAGTACAGGTCCATTTATGAGCACAGATATTGATTCCAAGAACATTACATAAACACAAGTCAATTATTCATTATTTATCAAGGACGTGTTTCAGTAATCCAAACATTTTATAATCTTGACTATGATTGTACTTGTGTGTTTAAAATGAATAAAACAATGTCACCAGAAATTAGTGCCTCAAACCCAACTGTTTTGTATATTAAAGAGTTCATTAAGGCGGTACAGCCAGACACTATAGGACCTTATTTGTTAGTTAATGAATGGGGATTTATACAGTGGGAGTCGATCCTTCACATAACCTAAACTAACCTTAATTAATTATCTTATGGTCCGTTTTATATACATCAGGATTGGTATTCCATAAATGCAAAGTATTACTGTATTATTATTATTATTATTATTATTATTATTCATGCTAATATTTAATTATTAACACCACTACCATTGTATTGAAGTCGCCTATTTTATCTATAATATGAAAGTTGTTTTTCAGGCTTCGACCGGAGATGACAAGGTGATGTAGCAGTGTATCCTGAGCCCCAACATTAGGCTGGTCCCCTGTCCATCTTACGACTCTAGCTACAAATTCTCAGAAATTCTATGTTGTTTTTTGTCGTAAGGGAGGTTTGGCAAACACATCAAGCTGATACCAACATAATTTCTACAACTAGCCAGGTTTGTGTATTCTTATATGCACAATTAAGAGAAAAAAATAACCTACGAATCTTGAGCATCTGTCACGGGATGTACACACCTGCACACAGCAACAGCCGGACAACACAGCAACAACATTAACACGGCGGGGGGTTCATTTTACAACAGCGTGAGCAGGAAGCCGCTATTTTAAACATTCTTCACACGTATTCTTGCAATGTTTGGCTTAGAGGTATGATAAATATACGTGGTGATAGTGAAGGACTCGCCTTGGTCCCACAGAACCCACCAAGGGATGATGTACAGTAATCGCCTTGGTCCCACACCAGGCTGATCTAACTGGAAACTTAAGACCAGGATTCTCAAACGTTTACTTATTCAAATTTCTGCCAAGCCTTGAGGAGTGGAAACACACCTGATTGACACAGTTACAGAGTAGAGTTGACTAAGCTAACGTACCCAAAATGCGTCCTGTCGACCCCAGATTCACTAAAAAAAAA